TGAGTTTCATTTGAAATAGACACAGGCACAAATATTTAAATACCTGAGGAAAGTTAGAGATTTAAATCTTCAATTAACTAGTTTGAAGTGTGCAAAAACCCTGTCTCACATACTTTGGGCATATTGTGAGGAGGGTCTAGTCCTTGGAAAAAGACATTATGCTAGGAAAGCAGAGGGTCAGCAAAAAAAAGAAGAAGATCCTTAATGAGATGTATTGATTACAGGAGTAACTACAGCAATGGGTTCAAACCTGGTGAGGATGCTGCAGGAGAGGTCAAGGTTCAGATCTGCTGTTCACAGGGTCACTGTGAGTCACGGTGGCCCTAACGGCACCAAAAAAAACAACAAATCACAACTAATTATTGTTTTATGTTTCTATTTTATTTTTGTCAGTGAAAGACATTTCACTGAATGATGTAGCTGTTGTTTTGACCTAGAAAAATGGGTTTGGTTACAGTCCCCCTGGGCCAAGCATGATTTAAGTAAAACAATGCTCTGTTCATAAATGACATTTAAATAATAAAATCATGACTCATGCCAAAGCCACTCTAATGTCTTAAAAAATAAAACAACTAGAGTATAATTAAGAAACTTTGGCAAATGTGATGGTAAAAGGAAAAATACATGATCTCTAAAATGAGACCCTGAGTTCATAATGAAAATCATTACAGCAAGAAGCTTTTGTCCACCACTTTTGAAGTGCAATTTAGCTTAACATGTTAGACAGAGTATTTTGGGGAATTCGACTGAGCTGCTCTGAGAGAGCAAATACCCCCAGCTCCTTCCTCACATAGGAAGATGGCTCACATCCAGTTCTGTGTTTGTTGCTTTGTGGCATGGCAGTTGGAAGCAACTCACAGCTGACCCTTCAGCGGGCTTTCAGAGGCTGTAAATCACCTAAGAAGAAACTGCCCAACTTTTTCCAGGGAGAAGCTGGGAGGTAAGAATCAGCCTAGCAGCACTAGGCCACCAGGGCTCCCTTATTCAAGGCCCTAGTTCCTGTTTTTCTGACTACTTGTGTAGGGAGATGTTCCTGACCCCTAATTCTTTGCCATCTTCTCATTCTTGACCTTTATCTGAGTCATTACCTGGTAAAGACCTACCTGACCCCATCTCACCTGCTTGGACATCACACCTCACAAGGCTGTTGGGGAAGGTTCTACCTCCACAGTTCTCATCCAGGGAGGCCTCATGTGCAGGTGACCACATACCTGGCTGACCCACCATTTCCAGGACAACGCTAAGAAATATCTAAGAATATATCCAATTGGAAAGGGACTTCTTGGTTTTCTGCTAAGTCACTGCATCATTTATCTGAAAGTGGAGGCTTACAAACTCAACCATGTAAACAGAAAGGGATGAATAGTCTTTCCAGGCATGCACTTTGCTCCTGGTATATCTATAATGTATAGGCTTCGCATAAGCACAATCAAGTGTTCTGGGATTCCCATTCTTCTCAGATTCAGTCACAATTTGTTGTGATCTACACAGTCAAATGCCTTTTCAAAGTCAATGAAATACAGATAGACATTCCCCTGGTACTTTCTGCTTTTAGCCAAGATCCATCTGACATTAGTGATATCTCCCTAGTACCATGGCCTCTTCTAAAACCAGCCTGTACTTCAGGCAGTTCTCTGTTGATATGTTGTTCTAGTCATTAAAAGCTTAATTGTTTGCTTGCCTACACAATCAACACTTTTGGAACCAGCAGCCAGGAAATAAAAAAGACTAATTACATTAGAAAAGTCTGCTGTCAGAGACCTCTCCAAAGTACTAAAAAGCAACTATATCAGTCTGGAGACTAAGGTGTACCTGACACAGGTCATGATATTTGCAATTACTTGATATGCATCAGAAAGCTGGACAATGACTAGGGAGGATGGAAGGACAATTGATGCCTTTGAGCTGTGGTGCTGGAGAAGAGTATTGAGTATATTATGGACTGCTAGGAGAACAAACAAGTTCATCCTGGAAAGGGTAAAGCCTGGCTTCTACTTGGAGGCAAAGATTCTGAAGCTTTGTCTGACATCCTTTGCACATGTTGCAAGGAAGGCAGGACCCGTCCTTGGAGAGGGATACATGCTTGGGAGGGTGGAGGGACAGAGAAAGAGAGGAAGACCCTTGAAGAGATGGATTGATTCAACGACTGGGGTAATGTGAGTAGGTGTGTTGGAGACAGTAAGATTGGCACAGAATAGTGCAGGTTTTAGGGCTGCTGTACATAGGGTCGCTATGAGTCGCAGGTTACTCAATGGCACATAACAACAACAAACACGCCTATAGTGTGTGCATCAGAGCAAAAGAAGCATCTCCCTGGAAACAGGATGGCCAGGCCAGGGGTGCCTGAACAACAGCCCCTTACTTTTATCCCCTTTCACATTTCCCATGCAACCCTGCAAACATACTTCTCTTGTTTAAAACATAAAAACTGAAGTCTTGAAATTCCTTTTGTTCCTTCATCCATGGTTCACCTAGGGAAGCTGTAGAGTGACTAAATTTTTCATGTTTGGACAAGAGTCTTTTGAGGGAATCTGGCTCCTAAGAAATTCTGCTCCACTTATTGTCATTATGATCAATAGATAATAAAGACTTGTGCCACATTAGTGAGCACTGTGATTACTTATTCTATTCAAATTAGCCTTAAACAGTCTGCTTTATTTCAATATATCAAAAACTCACTCTAATCAAGCCCAACAATGCATATTTCAACCTTCTCTTTCCCTACAAAACCTCATTTCCTCCCTTAATGTTTTATCACAAACCGCTGAAACTTCTTTGTACACTAGCCATGCCGAAGCTTCTTACGCTAACTCCTGGTCCTTTTCTGCCATTCTCTATTCTATTGTCCATTAACAACCCAGGAAACACAGAAAGGAGGTGAGTTCCAAAGCCAGAATGCCTGGGTTCAAAGACCAGCTCTGCTCCTTATAAATACATAGTTATTCATTCACTCTGGACCTTAGTTTTTCTCATCTAAAAATTGGAATTTTGTTTTAAAAACTGAGGTTTTGAGTATTAAATAAAAATGTTGCCAAAAGATGAATTTAGTTGTCATTACTATTAGTACACAGAATTTAGGATTAAAAGGTCTCCATACAATGAGAGACACTGGAAGCTCACATCAAAATAGGGTCTTTAGTGAGTCTTCTAGTTATTAATAGTGAGAAAGTTAGCATAAAAGTATAACAACTTGACTCTATTTTGTATTTAATTAATTCTCTGGAGAGGAAAGAAAGGAGGCGGAAAACAAGGAAAAAGAAAGGACATTAGGAGTTGACTGTACTAAGCAAATTCCAGTCATTTCATACGAGCAAAATCCTCATGATACTCATATGATGGGTAATATGTAACAAGACAAACTCAGGGACACAGAATTATTTTTTTTTCCTAAAGTCTTCTAACAACTAAATGCAAAACTGAGACTATTTGAGTGATTGCCTTTGTAGCATTTTTTTTAAAAACCAAATTATTATTACTCAAAATTTCTTACAACATTTCATTTCTCCATAAGTATGGCTACCAAGAACAAGGGCCTAGACCAGCAGCTACTGAATCCAAATCCCAGCTCTGCCCTTTACTTGTGTGATTCTGAGCAAGGTAGTTGACTTTACCTCAGTTTCTTCAGTAAAAATTATAATAAGACTATTAATTGTGACCATTACATGAGATACTAAATATAAAATGTTTAGAACATTATCTACTACATAATAAATGCCCACTTTGCTTAAGTAATGTTACCTGCACCATGCAGACACAGTGTATCAAGGTTTCTGGGAATGACATCAACCTCTCAAGAAGACAGAACAGAATCACCACTAGTGTGGCATTTTTGGAAGAGTTTTTTTTTTTTTGAAAGGACTAAATGTTTCACATACATGTTCTCCCAGGCTCCACGACACAACAATACATGGTTTATGTAGAGAAGTATCTTCCCATGCACACCCATGTTTATCGTGGCTTTGTTAACAATAGCAAGGAGTTGGAAACAACCTAAGTGTCCATCAACAAACGAATGGATAGAGAAGCTGTGGTATATTCACACAATGGAATACTATGCTGCATTGAAAAACAAGGAACTCATGCAATATTATTCAAAATGGTTGACCTTGGAGGACATTATGCTGAATGAAGTATCTCAGTCACAAAAGGACAAATACTGCATGGTGCCACTCTTGTAAAACAGGACTGACATCAGGGTAGGGGATAGACTGAGAAAGATGGGTTCAATAATGTATACTGCATTGAAACAGATGAGGGAGAAAACTGTTTAAAAGGGATATGTGATTAGGTATTTTCGTCATCACAGGAGTCCAGAGCAAAGGCTGCATGGTGGAGTGGTCGTGGGGTGGTGGGGAGAGGGATTGTAAAACAGTGAAAGAATTTCTTTTTTTTACTTTTCCAAGAGGGTAGTATACTGGGGGAGAGAGTTGGGAGGGGAGAAAAGTGCAACAATGAATGAATGGAAATCCAAAGTCTCTGTAAATTTTCATTGAAATTGATAATAAATTTAAATTAAAAAAAGGGAATTAAAAAAAAAGACTAATTCTAATAAACTTCAATTTACTATTTTTTTAAAAAAAAGAACTATCTTCCCCATTAAATGAGGAATTTCTTCAGAGGAAAGACTCAGACTTCCCCCGTTTCCTCAGCACTTGAACTGGTAGTGGGATGTGTAAAATATTCCATGAGTGCATAAAAAATAAATTAACATATGTTTCTTTAGATTTTTTTAAGAGCTTTGTGTTTCAAGTCTCTTATAAAATACTCCCCCAGAAACTAATTCCTTAAGCCATTTACTAACAAACCTCTTAGCAGCAAATATAAAACAATTCACTGGAGAAAGGGCAGTAATGGTTTCCCACTGCTACACGTTTGGCATATTTCAACACATCAACGCCCACCAAAGGCAAAATCTATTTTGAAATATGGACTACAGGGAACTCTATCTAAAACTGGGGAGGTGGAACCAATTAATGAAAGTGTGTTTCAAAAATGCTTACCTTGCCTCATAAACGAAAGGGCTTTTTCTCTTAAATTATCCTTCAATTGCTTCTTTTTGGTCAAATAATCCAAAACATATATATTTGGAGCAAAATTTATCATGTTTTGTTCCCCACAGCCATAAGGCATCCTAATCAATGAAGCTAAGCCATTGATAGAAGGACCAAGAATATCTCCTGAAAACATAAAACATGAAATTCACTCAGCAAGTACTCTATTATCTACTAGGGGGAAAAAGATAAGTGAATAACAATTGATTCTAAATGAATGAGAGCACAGGTATCTACTGTTCAGAAAATATCTATTTATTACAAACAGCTCCCTGACTATAAGCAAATTCCAAGTGTTTCCTTGAGTCTAATTTGTATATAAGTTGGAACGATTTGATATCTAACGTCAGCCAAATATCTTAGTATATAATAAAAAGCATACTTTTTATGCATAAAAAAGGAAACACATCCAGATACACTACCATATCTATAACATGTCATACGTTAACAAGAATGCTTTTAAGTACATTGCAAAGTAGCATCCATTTGTCATTATAAACCATTGTATATACCTCCAATTTTTAATGTAAAAGGCTTTACATTGTGATTGTAAATGTAAATTTTCATTTGAATATAAATGGCTCATAACTACAGATTGTACATAAGATGTCATCTAAAATCTGTACAATGCTTGAAACAGAATGAAACATTAGAAAATTTTAGGAAGACGAGTCAAACAAATTATAATGCCACGTTGCTGAAGTTGTAGATGATAGGATTTTAGTAAAATCATAGCTCAGTTAAAGACATGGCTCAGACCAGGCAAAAATAAGTTTTTAAAAAAACACATGCACAAAAGTTTCTTTACATCAATGATTAAAATTAAACCTCCACAAAAAAATAAAATTAAACCTCCACATATAGAGAGGGGTGAAACACACTTAAAATTGAAGGCTTCTACCCTCCACCTGTGTGCACACATGTATATACACACAGGTACATCCAAATTATACATCTGCCAGGATCTCTCAGTATGGTGAAAAACACTTTTAAAAACCAAAACCTATTGCTGCTGCATTCATTCCATAGCGACCCTCTAGGGCAGAATAGTATGGCCTCAACGAGTTTACGTCTGTCACATCTTTCTTCCATGCAGAGGCTGGTAGACTTGAACCACCAACCACTGTTTAGCAGCCAAGCCCTCAACCATCATGTACCCAGGACCCCTCGGAAACTTGCTTAAGCAGAATTTCTTGCCCAACATAGCTTATTTCATTCTTTTTGAAAACTTTAAGGTTGTAACTAAAGTCTTCTGTCTAGGGATGGTGGGTTGTTTAGAGCTATAATAAAAAGAATTGCAGGTGCAGATAAAATTTAAAAGAACTTGCAGGGGGAGGATATGTCAGGAAGGTCCAGAAGCTTACATCTGAAGATCAAATAAACTGTTTGTTGTTGTTGTGTATCATCTAATCAGAATTGACCCATAGCTGACCCTCCAGCAGGTTTTCAAATTGCTGGGGAGGAGATTGCCCATCCTTCTCCCACAGAGCAGCTGGCAGATTCAAACTACATGCCTTCAGACTGCAGCGTCGCTTCTCCCCACTAGACCACCAGAGCTCCCTAATAAACTGTTTAGATGTGCTTAAATATTTCCTTTACTTATTTATATATCACAAATATATAAACAAACTGTGTGGACATGATGTTTAATAGCAGGTTCAAAAGAACTTAAACCTTACCAGAAGGTCACTCAAGTGAGTTATCTCCCACCTGCTGCTGTAAAGTTTACTTGTGTCCTAGAATACTCTCAGTGATTATCAGAACCACCTTCAGAACTTTTTCAAATTAAACACGTCTTAGTCATATTTCCAAAAGATTTTGATTCAGCAGGTTTAGATTGGAGGTCAGATATTTGTTTTCCCAGTTTCCTGGAGGATTCTGATATTCACTAGTGACTAAGAACCACAGAAGCCAAAAGCTCTGCTCTTTCAAATATCTCCTCCCAGCAGTCACATTCTAGCCTAAGCCTTGCTGTTCTGAATGTGATCCGAAAACCAGAAGCTTCAACTTTATCTGGGAGCTTGTTATAAATGCAGAACCAGAGGTCCCACAGCATACATACTTAACCAGAACCAGCTTTTTAACAAGATCTCCAAGTAATTCATGCACATCGTAGACTGAGAAGTAGGAGCTTAGGATATTTCTTTTTAAAATTTCTATCTTTTCCTACATAAATGAATATACTTATTTCATATGTATAGATAATACATTTATAAACAGATTTTAAAAATACATATTCCATAGTCGAATAAATAAGTAGGTGGGAATACACTCTATTCTTACCAACGGCAGTGATCTGAACTCTTTCACTACCATTCACTGTCTCCGGAGGGAAGGAGAAACTCAAAGTTCTCAGAGCATTTTGAGATGTCTTGTCCGTCAAGTCGAATAAAATGGACTGTGAGTAAGATTTTTCTAACCCTTCAGCCTGTCAAAAACAAAGGACATGATTAGCATAGTCTCTGCTAACCTACTTACAGATTATGACATAGACAAGTGAAAATAAGCATGTTGTAGCTACAGTTTGTATGAGGCTAGATAAGAACCTGTCATCTCTTGGTCTTTAATTCAAATCTGTTAACAAATTTTTCAATGTATAGTGAAATCAGAAAACAAGTGCCTGAAATAGCAATGGAAATTATAAAGGAAAAAATGAAAGAATGAGGACAAATACTCGAGAAAAAAACAACCCTTTCTCATTATTTTTCAAACAAAGGGATGAAATACTTAGCTCAAAATCACATGAAGCAGAGCTAGGATTCAAACCAAGGGCTGTCTCACCATAAAAGTCAACTACTTATTCACTATGTTGAGTTGCCTTTTTTATGGATGACGTCTTCTCCAGGAAACCCTGCAAAATCTCTTCACTTGTGCTGAAGAGTTTCAAAAATTCTAAATCTATCTATCAACATGACCCATGATTTGGTAACAGCTCAAACACAGTGTGTAGATAGAATAGGTGGGAGGAAAGAATTGTTTTATAGTCATCACCTTTGATTAAACCGGCAATTATTTCTAAAACTTATACATGATCTATTTTTACATAAAAATTAAGAAAACAATTATGGATTACCAACAACGTACAGGAGATACTTACCAACAGAAATGTTCATCTTACAAAAAAATTTAACTGAGAAAAAAAAGTCATGTTTTGTTTCCTTTTCCATTACATCTCACTTCATTTTTCCCCCCTCACTTCACTTTTTAGGATCAAATATTTACCTTTACTAAAATCTTTTGGGTGACAGCATCAGAAGAAATGGGCGAAAAGGCCTTGATCGTGATGGGAATTTCTCCCAGATGTGTTGGCTTGATTGGGAAAAGAACAGTTGTACCATCCTCACTGGGAACCTGTACAGTCTGCTGGTGTTCTGTGGCATTTATTTCATTTGAAGTCATTAGAATGTCATATTTGTCACTGTGCTCAATGATTACCTTAACCTATAAGGAAATTAAAAAATCAAAGATTGTATCAAATAAACATTTCTAATAAAGGGTTGCTTTACTATCATTTGAGAAGTCCAAGACTAGAAACAGGAGAAAAAAAAATATTCAGTCACAGGGAGAATGAAATGGCACCAGGAAAAACTTTCATTTCTCTTTTGTGTTTTGTAAGAAATTGTGTTGCTAACTCAAAGTCAAATCCACCCGCAGTTCCGAGGGAGAAAGACGGGCAATCTCTTTTTTGTGTGATTTACAGCCACCTAAAAAACCTGCTGGACTGTCAGCTATGAGTCAGTTTCAACTGTACAGTAATGACTGTATTTTTAGTTTTCTACTGTAAAATATTTGAGAGAAAGACACTCTTCACTTCCATTTCTAGTCTTCCCATTAATATTACATCTTCTCATTATCCTAAGTCATTGGTGGTAAGGATGAGTTCAGAAAATTTACTTAATATATGAATATTGCCACCAGCCTGATGTAAGTGTGAACCTGGGACCCTGGGACCACTAGAAAAGCCTGAGACAAACAGGACAAAATGTTACTATATTCATGAAGAATATATGCTAAAAATTTTTTTTAACAAAAAAATAATATCTGCTAAAATTATTCCAAGGAGAATGTCCTGGGTTGAATTGTGTCTCGCTAAAATACATTATTAAAACACCTAATGTATTTTAGGGAGTTCTGGTGGCCTAGTGGCAAGAAGCTGTGCTGCAATCCTGAAGGCATGTAGTATGAAGTTACCAACTGCTCCGCCAGAGAAGGATGGACAATCAACTCCCATGTGATTAACTGCCTCTGAAAACCCACTGGAGGGTCAGCTATGGGTCAATTCTGACTCTATGGTACACAACAATAGATGATGATTTCCCATGATCTGATAAATTAAGTAGTTGTAAAAGGATTAAGAAGGAAGACAAGACCCTCAATCCCATCACAGCCAGTTCCTATGAGAGGGAACTTTCCTCCAAGTGTAGCCTATAATAGTTTGTTTCATGGGAGATTAAAAAAAAGTGACCAGAAAGATAGAAGTCAATGTTACCGAAAAGGATTGCCAGGAGTTGCTGCTATTGTTAGTGCAGTTGAGTCAACATATTGAACAAAAGATCTGAAGCCTGCCCATCCTATACCATCCTCACCATATGCTCAAGTCCATTGTTACAGCCACTGTGTCAATTCATCTTATTGAAGATGTCTCTGACCCTCCACGTTTCCAAGCATGTTGGTTTTTTTCCCCCAAAGAGCGGCCTTTCCTGACAACGTGCCCAAGGTATGTGGGATCATCCATGCCTCTAAGGAGGATCTTAGTTGTATTTCCTCCAAACAGACTTGTTTGTTCTTTCAGCAATCCATGGGATATTCTATACTCTTCTCCAACACCACAATGCAAACATATCCAGGAACAGAGAATGTATTTTTGGATCCAGGTCCCTGTGCCTGGAAGTTCTTCAATACAGAAAACATATAGCAACCTCCAAAGAGGTCTACAGATGCCAAAGAAAACATGCACTTTCCTCCATAATGAAAAGAGAGAATGGCATTCTCTAGACCCAGCACTCCAAATTTGGACTTCGAGCCTTTTAAATTGTGAGAAAATTCACTTCTGTTTGTTAAAGCTATTCATTTGGTGTCTCTGTCAGAGACATACTAACTGAGTAAGACAGAATGTATGACTCAAACACTAGCCCTAACGTGCACCTCGGTTGTACACTTTTGTAGAGAATGACAAAGTTAATAGTTTCATCAAGAATAGCATTTCTCTAGGCCTTAAAATGTTATGAACTATTTTCCCCATTATCTACTCATATGATTCTTAAAATTCTTTTTTTGTAATTATGAATCCTATCTCACAGATGATGAAATTATTTGCCAGAAACAGAGCTGAAAATTGAATCCTAGCTTTCTGACTCTATATCTTATACTCTTCACATTGCACCATGTTAGTTTGATTAAAAAGCAAAAATAGAAAATAAAAAAAACATTATAGCATTTTTAGGTAACAAAAATAATGACTAATCATGTATTTAACACCAAGATGGTCAAAATACAGACAATGGCCCAAATCCTTGACTTTCATGAAATGAAAATGCTACCACTGATAAAAGACTTATGACTCAAAGAACAAATCTTTGAAAATACAGCATACAATATGTGCTGTCCACGGTTTATTGTTCTAAATGTCTTTCCTAACCACTGATGAACTCACTACTTTGTGAAGTATTTCTTTTATTAAGGAGATAGGATTAGAGTTGCTTTTATAAGCTCATGGGAGCCCAACGCTGGCTCTCTTTTGGACATGATGGGACAGGGCTCCCAGCTGAACAACTCACCAGCCTGTATCACCTACAGTCATGTAAGTTATTCCCCTGACAGATCTGTGTCTTTGGAAGAACATCAGTGAACTCAAGTGAGATAGAGGAGCAGTGGAACTGAACAAAAGACGGAGAGATGATGCCAGAAATCATGGAGTTACACAGCAGATCAAACATTTGGGACACTGTTGACTCCTACTTCCTTGTAACTGGTCTGCTACTAATCTTAGCAGAACAAAGTACGAATACATTAAATAAACATGGGGACTTTAAACATAACAGAATGTGTGAAATTCCTCTAAACGAGCTTTTTGTCTATCTGTGTTTCATTGACTATGCAAAGGCATTTGACTCTGTAGATCATAACAAACTATGGCTGGCTCTGAGAAGAATGGGAATCCCAGAACACTTGATCGTTCTAATGCGAAATTTATACTTGGACCAGGAGGCAGTCATCAGAACAGAGCAAGGGAACACTGCATGGTTCAAAATTGGGAAGGGCGTA